ACACGACACACAGCAACCGAATAAACACTGATATTTCCAGGATTCAGACATAGCATTGTGACGACAGTTTTAGTTTAGCCGATGACATTTTTAATGCAAAATTTTGCTTATATCGTACCATTTGCTTATAGTAATTCCGCGTAAAATATTTTAGATAAAAGATAACATGTCAAAATATCCTTATTGACCAAACAACGTTACTATAGCAACCGATATACATAGTGAGAACTCTAGGGCTGAACAAAATTGACCAGGGGAATTGTCAAACTTAATATTAACATTAACATTCTAGTAAGAATAATTCCATACATCCATTTCAATATTATAGTCTTAAACCCATTAATTAAATAGTTTCTTAATACTACTAGGAGTTCGTTATTATTTTGTGTGATTATTTAATTCTTATACAACCCTACAGATAGTGTCATTCAACTGTAATAATTGCATCTCGTAATAATGGCCAATTAAGAATTTCGTACAAGAACAATGGAACCGGTCCTCTCTTACATCAAAAAATATCTCACAAACAAGCATTTTAATAACTGTATCATATACCGTTATCTTTATATATTAAGTCATTGGTGTATTTTGTAAATTGTAAATTACAAGGTATCGTCCAGGACTCCGTCTGCGCGGAATTAGGAAAACTTAATTAGTAGCATATGTGTTTTTCCAGACTATGTTTTACATCTATGCCAAATTTCATCGAGATCAGTTCAACCGTTCTCCAGATACTTTCTTACAAACATCCATCCAAACTTTCGCATTTATAACATTAGTAAGATAATAAGAAGTAAAATTTGTATTCTGTTGCGGTATGACAGAATAGAAATGATATGCGTAAAGCTCTCAAACTAATATCTTAATTGCTGGAATCACGAAAGCGATACATTTAGAAGTTGAACTTAAACCTAGATCATTGTTTATAACAGATATTTTACCTAAGAGAAGAGGACTACTTGAAATGTTATTCTTGTAACCATTCCAACTAAGCTCCAGGCTTGTGTACACAATAGTCAAACCGCGAGATTCAAATATACGAGCGTACCATTAACCATTAGGCTTTGGCACTTCAAATCTAATTCGATATTATTTTGTGTGAAACAAATCGTTATCAAATATGGAACATCAATGACATTTTTATGTGCCACTGTTATGTCATCATTAGATGGACAGATAAGCCCTGTTACTGAGGAGATGGCGTCATCAATAAACATCGCATCACTCCTACAAATATTCTGTTAGGCTTCCAATCCGCACTGGCCCTGAACACCAAATCGGGCGAATGGATTAAAATAAGCCAAGAGCGGAGAGCGGATTGAAAACCGCTAATTAAAATAGCTTGCCTTTTAACAGCACATTAAACGATTTTACGTTTTTTTAAGCTTTTTAATCAGGTCCGACTATTTTTTTAAGTTTATGTTCAGTACTTAAAATAAATGTAAATACAGTTTCGCAACGCCATTTACGGTAATATAACTAAAATAATCTGTATTCATTTCCAAAAAGTATAACGTATCCACGTATCCAAAAATAAAAATGTGTTCATCGAAATTTTATTATATTATTATAGTTTCAAAAACAAATGAATGTACAGAAGTTTTCAGGTAAAATAAAATTAATATTTCCCGCGTAAAATACAACGGCGTCAGCTCATAACTTAAATGCTTGCGATCGAATTACAAAGGCGATGCTATGAGTAATTTTTTGTTTGCAAAAGAGTAATGAATCGAGGAAACAGATGTTTTGATGAGAGGATAGTCGTGGCCTTAGCGTTAGCGAGCCGAGTGACTAACGCCCACAATCCATACGACATAACACTACTACTATAGTTAAACCCGGCGTCACTTGTTATTTTTAACTACTAAGTCCGAGAGGAATAAAAAAAAAATATAAATATTCAATCTATATCTTTTTAAATTTTCATATAGATTCCTTCAGCTTTGTGGAGTTACGTCGTATTTAACTCGTATACATTCAAACTTTTTCATTTATAGAACAAAATAGTGAGAATTATAATAGTTATTCAATATGTTTAACCAGTTTTCAAGGCGAACTTGTTAACCATCTGTCACCATGGACGCAATCAAAAACCAAAAGCGTTACAGAATTCTACGGTTAAATATTTCAAAAGCATGTTCTATAAAAAATCAAAGTTTTAGCCGCCTTTTTATGTCAAATTAATTTACGACAAGAAATCAACCTTTTTATTAAAAGATTGAATTAAACAAGCGTCTTAACAATAAAAGTTTAATCCAACATTTCCTATCTAAACTATTTCCTACACATGGATGCAGATTCCGGCTGACTGCGCGCACTCCACAATATACGAGACTACAGCTTTAGTTAGTCTACTTACTAACTTTGTTTATCTTCAATAAAATATTTTACCAGAACAAATATTGAAAATATAATAAACTCATCGTTTGGCGTCTTTCCATCCTATATTTATTATGACGCATTTTTGTTCGAAACTTTAAAAGTTCTATGGAATATGTAACATAAGTTGAAAATGTTTTCATTTAGCTCCCAAGCTTTAGTTTTTTTTGTTATATCTAGGTAACTATGAATCTAAAGAGAATTAATATTAATTTTATGTTTAGATATTTTACATTTAGCTTTGCGGAATACGTAACCAAATTATTGGCCTGTTTATTTAAGGTGGGCCGTGGGTGGCATGTACTGTATGAAATTAATGACAATTTTAACTCATTCACAGTTAAAATTAATATCAAGTATTATTAAACTTTATAAGTACATTTATTTTATCGATAAAGATAATAACTAAGTTAATGCTGCACATAGAACGCACATTTAATTCATTTGTTTATTTCACATAGTAAAAAAATGTATGAAAAGGATTTGAATAAAATATTCAAATCAAGTAGGTATAGAGTAAGTTGGTAAGTCAGTGCTGTGGGAGGCATTGTTCCGTACGGAATGTGAATTTGATTCCGCTTATTGTATCGAGCCCTTCAGAAATGCAAATTCTTGTACGTTTCAAAGCGTCACGTGTGCACTTCTGTTGCTCCCTTTGCTGGGTTTTATAGCTTGTTTGAGATATTTCTATAAACAAATTATGTACAATATGTATACGTTTTGTTTATAAGAATTGTACCTATGTAGTCATATAGGTACAATTCTATTCTATATAGGTAATATTTTATATTATTGTATTTTTCGAATTCATTTTGTGTCACGTGTTGTTATTAAGGTCACAATTACTTAATATATTCATTATGAATTAAATTATTTTTACGTCTTATTGTGAATTTCCGAGTGTCGTAATAATTTTAGACTTTAAAAAAACGCGCAACTTCATTATTTCATTATGAAATAGTCTGCTACTCACCAACAGATGGCACTGTAGGCTCTTTACCAAAATATTTTATTGAATGTTTTATTGCACTTTTAAAATATATTTCTAAAATTATTATGTATCTATTAATAATAGAGTTTACTTTTTCTAAATTTGATTCAATTATAACTTAATTTCAAGTTTTATTTCTAAAGTAAAATGGCAAGTTGTTTTAGGTTACAGGCCACATAATAGATGGCGCTTATATTACCATGACATGTTTGACAACAGCTTATAGCATTGATAGATGGCGCTGACTGTCAAAGTAACAAGCAATGGTTATTCTTAGCTTTTAATTAATTATGTGAAAAAAAATTATATCTGCTATTATTAAGTTAAAATTCAATTAAACATTGACCTTTAACACATAAACGCTCTCGTTGACCTAAAAGTAAAGTAAAGTTTGTACTAACAAGGGTCGGGGTTTAACGGGCAATTCTTACCAAGGTGTTGCAATTTGACGTGTCATTTGCGATGGGCACATTTAGTTCTGTTTGCTTGATCGTAAAGAGTCCACACCCTTACAACGGTACAACGTCCAGCATAAGGTGATCTCTCTGACCTCCTCTGTCTTAGGGTGTATTATATGGGGATGAAAAAAAAGAATACTTTGTTAGAGATCTCGTTCTACTGGTGAGTGAAACTTCGTGCGTTTATTGGCAGGTAACCACGATCACGTCATCCAAACAATTGCTTCATAGCAGTAAAACCTGGTCTAGTTTCCCGTCGTTGTAGACGTGTGTAACTACCCGCTCTGTTCCAACAGTTCATATTTTCTGTAACATTGTAACATCTAGTTCTGACTTAATTAGTTTTAAAGTGATTGCATTAAAAAAAGATAAATGATGAGAGATGGACTCGAGTTATTTTACTAGTTTCACAAGCTTTATACCGCGATTTTCCTATAAGAAAAGAATCATGAATAATTTAAAGAAGCGCCGCGAATCAGTAGCAACTGTTTGTAGAAAGACTACAAAATTCCTGAGTTCGAATACCGCCAATCTACTTAAAAAGGTCCCGAATACAAGAAAGTATCGCCTTTTGGCACGACTTGTGGAAGATAGTGAGGGGAATGAGGAAAGGGAATTCAATAAAAACGAAGAGGAAAAAGATGAAGGCAGTGACCAAGATTTAGGAGACAGAGAACTGGATTACTATCTAGGGGTTAGAAAGAAAGAAACATTCTGGAGAGATCTAGCTGGAAGGGAGCAGATAAGAAAAGATTTCCTTCTCAACCATTGTGGCGTGTCGGAAGAAGATTATGATAAACTATACAGCAAACCGACGGCTACACGGAAAGAATCCTTTAAACAACCGAAACTCAAACAAGTTCCTTTTAAAATTACTAGAAAGAAACACAGAAGGACGGGTAGTGTAGAGGGGGAATCGTGGAGAGAAAAGGGAGGGATCTTTAAGCTATTTTCTAATAGACGGGATAGTGACACTACTTCAGATAGTTATAGCGAATGCGATTCAAGTGACGAGGAAGAGAATAATGATGTACTGAAGAATGAGGAGGACGACCGTATTTGGAGGATGGTAGCGCATATTAATGACAATATCGAATCATACGAGGTCAGCTTCTTAATGTTGTTTTGGTCACTTGTGAATTTTTTACTTATTCACTTCCTTTTGTCGGCAGGGCGTGCGGATAAAGGAGGTGTCAGAAGGGAGGCCCTGCGACAACTGCCCCGAACTGTGTCCCGGTTTCATCTCGCATCCCTGGAGGTGAGTTTCTTCATAATATATTTTTTTCTTAGTTTAAGTTATAAGCCGATACGTTACTTTATATAGGTATAAATATTTACATTCTTTTAGGGATCAAGAACTCTTAGGATTTTTTAAACGAAACATACAAACGTAATCATAGGCAGAGTTCTGCAATATGTTTGCCTAACTTGAGTGTAATCATAAAGTGAAGGTGAAATTGCGTCTGGTGCGGTCGCTTATAGTGTAATAACAATAAGGTTATTTAGTGATGAAATTTATGCAACTTTACCTAGACGTGATGCATTTGGGTATGTAGTTATTCTGAATTTTATACTTAATGGTAAGAGGCCGGTAAGCCCACTGCGGGTGGAAGAAATTGCGCGCAGGTGTGTCCCGTGTCCCTTTAAGTCTCAAAAATCCTACCTACCTAAAATTATGTTCTGCGCAACGTCACAGTATCCCGTACGAGCCCGAGCCGCCTTAAAGTTTGAATAGAACTGTAGCACAACTGAATACATTAGAACAAATGACCGCGTCTTATCAGGCAGACGTTGAACCGAAGTCGTTCGGGTCAGCGATAAGGCCAATCGAAGTCACTTAACTTTCGTACGTTCTCGAGCCATATACGATCGCGTTCGGAAGGCTGCGTAAGGAAAAAATTGTAGACCTTGAACGCTCTGTCGCGTCGCAAGCGCATTGAAAATTGAAATCAAAAACAATACGAAGGCGACATAATCAAACGAGCTGTCGCCGCGTTTACACGTCTATCATGTGCATGGCTATGAAACAACTCGAGTGGGCGGAGATATATCGCCGGATAAGGAGAACAGAGACCGTTGAAGTACAGGAAAGGAAGATACAGAAATTCCCGTCCAGGGAACGAAATCATGCCGTTCGAAGGAAGAATAATAATAACAATTTTCGATCGCACGCCAACTGTGAAACTTGTGCTAGAGTTGCTGCTAAAGAAAACAGATGAAGAGTGCAATTTAAACATCAGTGATTTGTAGTGCGGTGACAAGACTGTGCTTTGTGATGTATGATGCTAACGGGATATTTTATTTATATTATACGAAGTGTAATAAATACTTACTTCCAAGTATTTTAAGGTTTTCTGCAAAGATATTTCCAGTAGGTATATACTCTAAATATCTAGTCCCTCAATAATAAACGTTAAACAATGTCAAAATGACAGGAGCGTGGCGTTAATGACGTAGTGACGGCCTTCAAATGTCTTTGACCACTTTGTATTGTTTCTACAAAGCATATTTTTTCATTAATTTTATTTTTTGTGTTAAATATACAATCGCTATAAATTGCGAGGTAAACGTCTTTCATATTCATATTTAAAATGATCATTGTCTACAATCTCTTTTTTTTAATGTTGGCTAGACTCAAGTAATTTTATGATCTTCAAGGTCATATGTATTTAAAATTATATTATTGGATGTAATTCGAGAGCTGTAACATTTTCTCGACGTTTATATAAAAAGAATAACAAAAAAACATTTTTAATCTCTATACACTGACGAAGTAAATAAATAATATATAACATAGTCACATTTATAGATGACTTAATATGTAATTTATTATATAAGTTATTGTGTATTTGGTGCCTTAGTTGTCCATGTTGGATATTTTTAAAATTCAAATTAATGTTGAAAAATGTAACTATGTATCATAGACTTTATCGTAACATATTTAGATTATAGATTATACATCAAATGGCGTGATCGAAATGACCTTGAATTAGAACACAATATGTTATCGTAATTGAAAAAAATAAAAAACATTTCCTAATAAATTTGTTTTACTTATAAGTTTACTAAGCCAAAGTAATTATTCAAATAGTAAGTTCACATAATATAGAAGACCACAGATTCCTTTGACACAAAAAGTATAGATTCTATCAAAAAGGTAACATGGAAACGGTTAACAGAATGGAAAGTGTTATCCTGTTACTATAAATCGGGCTGTTTTATCACCAATTACGGTAATTGGACAGTAAGTCCTTAGTAAGGGGCGACGACCTGCACTTTACTATCCGACGTCGCTATTGTAGACGAATTTATACTATTCACTTGGGAGGGAAATATGTGAAAACGTATTTTTTTTGTTACATATTCTAATTTCGTATTAAACTAAAGAAGCCTTTTCTACATTTAACTCAAGTAAAACTGAAAAGCAGTATTAAATGGTTGACATTTTATTCGGAAGTCGTTATGTATTTGAGTAATAAAAAGCATTTTGCAACATAGGACAGTACTGCGCTTCGTCAAATTCCTTTTAATTTAAACGCGCTGTGCGCTCTCATTGTCCTGTAGATTCAACTCGTTAAGCGGTCAATTGCAAGTCAAGTCATAAATTGACCTATTTTTTCTTGTTGTTACGTCACATATTTATAAATAGTTTACGGCGATTAATTTGAAAGAAAAAAACATGTTCATTGAAAATGGCTGAAGTTTTTGAGCGCGAAAAATATAAAATTTGTGGATTCCTGTATTTAGTATTAGTTATAGTAAATAAATAGTAAAATTATTAAATCATAGTCATCCAACGGTAAGTAAAGGAGTCGCTTAGGCAGAGACTTAGTATACCTTACACTGTATACTAAGTCTCTCCCTCAGTAAACACCCATCAACTATGATTGTGGCAGCAAATGTAGTGCAAAGAATGGGTTTATGTTCAACTTAAAAAAATTAAAATATATAGAATTGAACTTGGTGCGTACAAATATAAAAACATTGAGAATTTGAGGCTGCAAATTCAATCGACCTTTAGCTGCACTGAGCTGACATTGGTGTGCAGGCAATTTACATGGATATGTAGGAATATATTCAGCTCTCACTGCCATCTACCGTGCAAAGCGGAGCGAGGACAAAGCCATTCCGACACTTAAGTACTACTTGTACCAAATGGCTGATTGCAATCGATGAATAGTGTCCTGGCTTTAAAAGACGTATGCAACGACTGCATATGATTCGGCGAGTCGAGAAGTCAACTCTTCTGCCCGATGTGACAATTTAAAAACAAAAAATTAAAAAAAAACAATAAGTTTACCGCAAAAGTCACAGTTATATACACTGCTGATTAATATTCATGTACCTCACATATCACATTATTTTCGTTATGTACTTAATTTAATTAAATAAAGAAACGCGATTTCGAGGTAAATCCTGCACGCTATATGTCTATCAAGTTCACGCCACTTCACATGCTCTTACACACTCGAATAATCTTTACAAGGTCGATGCTCAATATTTGGGAAATAATATAAAATAGGATTCTAAAAAAGATTTCGAAAACTTTATGGTTAGGCTTATATCTGCTATTTAGTCTACGTTTATACAAAATTTGTAGGAAATCATTTTTATAGTGTGTTTTCACCCTTATTACGTGGCCGTTGTAATTAAGTAGTCGTAAATATGTTCACAGAACGGTAAGGGCCGCTTAATGAGGTTTTAACTTATGGCTTACGATTTATGTCTTAAGTATAACATGATTATTTACTTCTTTCTTTATCTTATGCCCTGTTAATACAATATTAAGTAATTGAGTGTAATTAACGATTTAGAAGTTGTTGGTCTTAAAACTCTTAAAGAATGTTTTAAATTGAGATCTTTAAAATCCTTTAAATTGAATTAACTGATTATATAAAACTGTGTTATCTTGTAATAACGTAAGAATTAAATGTAGGTTGAACAATTGTAGTTGCTCATTTATATTTCGTCTATATATCGATATAATTTACGTTACAATAAGTCGGACGTAACATTAAGAGTACAGAGTGATAAGAACCGGACACAGTCGGCCTATCAACTATCAGATGACACAAGCTTTGTCACTTTTCATATATATCAATTGAGGTTAAATATCACGGCTGCAATATCTATGTTGTTTGTGTTTTGTTTTATGACGACAAAATTCTTGTAAATAAAACTAGACCAACATTTAATATTTAAATTTTCTTTCTTTATTTAATTTATATATTTTTACCAAATACGACCAACTTCGCAATGAAAATACCAATTCGTATATTAAATATAGTTAGTTTATGTATATAATATAATGCTGTATGTATTATTTCTTGTTAAATAGATGAAAAAGGGACATAGTCATTTGTAAACATAAGAGGCAATTCATTTCTACATCTTACTAATATTATAAATGCGAATGTTTAGATGGATGGATGGATGGATGCTTGAATGTATCTCTAGAGACGGCTGAACGGATCACGATGAAATTTGTCACAGATGTAAACATACTCTGGAAGAACACATAGGCTACTCATTAAATTCTTTTAATTCTGTGCAAACGAAGTCGCGGGCGACAGCTAGTCTAAAATATGTGATTAAATTAGCGTCATGCTTTATGAGTCAGTCTCGATTTAATATAAACAAAAGCGGACATTTTCTTTGTGCGAATAATTACAATGGACAAAGAGTAGCCGAAACAAACAAAGACAAACTTTTGTAAATTTAGACAAAGAAGGAAAGAACGCAATATCCTTTGTCTTGTTTGCGCCCTAATTATGTTAATGATATCGATGTACAAATATTTGACATGCATTAGAAATTGTTTCTTGGACATTATAAATTCCAGTAACAATATAGGAAAGTACAAACTATAATTATAATTACAGATAGAGTAAACAATGTATTTTTTTTTTAAATTTAACTAAATTAACTAAATTTCCTTTTTAAATTTTAGTGTATATTATGTCAAAGCCTTTAATCTCCGTTATGTTATGTTCTTGAAAGACTTCATTATGGTTTAAAAGTTATATTTACTTTAAGCGCCATCTGTTATGACATATTGAAACTACTTCAAGCGTTTCTAGTGCCATCTACTGAGATATGTTTCAACACACTACAAGTTACTATGAAAATTATCGATTTCATAACATCATTATAAAAAAATAGGTATAATATATTTGATGTTCCGAATTAGGAATTAACATTTAAGCTTCAGGCGACGCATTTGACTACTATGTTGTTGTGGATGTACAAAATATATGA